CTGCTGAACTATGCTTCCACCATATTCAGCAGCAATGTGAGCAAATGGTACAGCACCAGCCAGACTGGGTCACGGACTGATGGGCAGCTCAGTACACACAAGCAACAAAACATCAACTCTTGCTGAATTTTAAGGTCACAGATTAAAGGAATAGCCACTTACTTCATAGTATATTTTAAGAGCCACTAGCTCCATAAATAGTAAGCCTGAGTTGTTGTCTTAACACCTTACTGGAAAAGCATAATAGGATTCCAATGAGGAACAGGTTGAACCGTTGTTGAAAGGAGTTAAGTTAAAGCCTAATGGTAGGAACCCTTATTTCTTAGTAGCCAAACTCAAATATGCTATGCTAATAGCCAGGTTCTGCGCTAGGCTGGCCATCTCTGGAAAGATTAACTTTTAGCTGCTGGTCTCAGATATTAGTGACTCCACATTGATGGGATTTATTTTTATTTTTTAATGAACTATATATACCAGTTCATTGGGACTGTTCATTTTTAATTCAAGGTTTGCTTACTACTCAGTTGCCAACTTATTTTTATTCAAGCCTTCTTGTGGCTGACCATAGCATGGGAATGTTTGGGGGAAATAAGAGACACAGCAAGGTGTCTCTTCACTGTAGCTCTACTCATGTTTTGGCTGGCATTGCTCTTTGAAATCAGACTTGTGGGATATTACAGCTGTGGTACCAAGGGCCTCACCTCCAACAGATAGCTTTTTGAGCCTCAGGGGAGCTCTGCCTCAGTGTCTTCCCATTCTTAACTCAAATACTTTTTGGGGAATAGCTTTTTCTAAATAAATAATAGCAACAGTTTTTTGTTGCAACATGAGACTTCAGAATAACATGGGAGCATCTTCTGTTTCAGCCATACAGGATTTCACTGTTCCTCCCCAACTATTTGTTCAGGTGCACACTGGGTGTGCATCAGTGTTCTTACACTGCTGAACACTGCTGCAGTATCTGTAGCATTTACTGTCTTTATGCACACCTGATGAGCCATATCCATAATTATGCCATTCAAAATATCTATATGCTGCTATTGTTTTGCTTGCAAGCAATAAACCTTTGTCTGCCGCCTTCTTCTACTCCCTTTTTTCCTTTTTTTTTTTTTACTCTCAAGCTGTATAGGTTTGGTATCTGGATCAATTATTTTGTTGTGTTAGACTAACACAACACAATGGACATGAGTGTGCCTCTAAATTCAGCACAAAACATATGTTGTGTGGGCAAAGTGGTGTCCAGGAATAAAACAGCATATAAATTGGTTGTCATTCAGCTTTCTTTTCTTATGTCCTCTTTAATGCTTTATGTGGATCTGCAGTTTGGTGGCCAGAATTACAGCAGTTTATATAAAATGATGCAAATGTGTATTCCATAGCTTTATAATTTGAGGGTCCAAAAACTGTTTCAACAATAATAAGCATGCACTGAAGAGTTCATAGCAGCCACCCTGCCAAATCACTTTTCTGCTTTAAGAATTCCCTTCACTGCCTCCACAAGTCATGCAGCGCATACATGACTTCACTCTATGACTTTGTATTCCAGATTAGTACAAAAATTTAACTGACAGTCATTACTATTGTATTTGCTACAAGTAAACGAGCTAGTTCAGAAAGAAACACAGTTTGTGTTAAATGGTGCTTTGAAGATTATACCAAGACTTTTCAAAAAGTCTGATTGCTTTTGCTTAATCTTTTCTTCAGCTTTCTCCAATTAATTAGCAAAATGTGCCATACTGTTTATTCAACAAGATCCAATGTGGACATTGCCAATCAAATCAGCTTTCATGAATAAAACCTCTTCAAAAGTAATAGTAATTGGAAATAAATTGAAGCATTTCTCAGTGAATGTGGGGCACAGCTGCCATATTTTTGTTGACTTAAAAGCATATTACAATGGTCTTTGAAACGTGTCACTATTTTATGACTTCTGACCCTTTCTTACCAAGGTATTTTAATGTCTCTGTATGTTTATCCTCAATCAATGGCATGGCCTGAGCTATCTAGATTGTATATAATTTCTAGTTTAATGAGCATTAAAAAATATAAGGTACTTTTTGCCTGGACTGATAACTTCATTGTTGATGGGGGGTGGGATAGGGCTGGATTTAGCTCTGAACTCTCATAGAAACCTTCGAGTTAGCTGCTGAAGCAGCTATGAGGGACCATAAGGAGCGTCTGTAGAGCACTCAGTAAGCGTCAGGCAGAGTCTGCTGGCAAACCTGACAGGGGGATACTTCACAAAAAAGCCCACAGCAACACACTTGAGAGGTTTAGCAGAGCTAGTGGGACACAGTTACTACCAGGGCAGTGACTAGGAGAGGGAAGACCACATCCTTTCCACGAACATGCAGGTGACTTCACCTTCCTTAAAGAGAAGCTGTGTTTTTATGGCTCTCTAGGGACTGAGGATGAACAGGTTCAGTTTCAGAAGTCCTCTCCTCCTCTCCTTGCATGATGGAAGCCCTTCACTGGAGAGATCTTTGCCCAGGCAACCAAAAAAGCAGAGTCTGCTCCTTATGAGAACTATGGATCAGTTGCTAAAGTTTGTCTCTAGAGGGAGATTAGAGCTGAAAATCTGAGGGACACATTCTGTTGTTATAGAGTATATTTAGTTCTGCAGACATGATAGAACCTCAGGACAGTTTGCAGACTGTCCTGCATATTTTGCTTTGTGCATATTTGAGCAAAATATAAGACTAACATTGCTGGTTAAAACTAGCTCTGCAGTACAACCCACACATCCACTACGCTGGCTTCTTATATTGGGAAAAAATACTCCCTAACCAAGCTAACCAACTCTACAAACAACTTTCTAAACTGACGAAACATCAGTGATCTGAACATTTGTATTCAGTGATGTGTTTAAAAAACCAGAATTAGATCAACTGTAGTGTACTTGAAATTCTTCAAGAACTCATTGATATGAACAGTATATATTCCTGTCCTCTAAGAATAGATGGTGCCTGCCATAGGATATATTCCTTAGCTGTTTACATGAGTTCTTGTG